CCAAACCATTAAACAGGTTCTTTTATTATACCTTAAAATATATAATTGGTTTTGTATCCTAGGTAGCCTAAATAAGTATTCACAGTATGAGTTAACAAAAAAGTACTAGACCTATTATCAAGTTAAGTAGGCTAATACAGTTCAATTTCGTTTCTAAAATAAATGGTAGGGAGTGAAACCATTTTAAATTTTCAAAGAACCAGCATTAACTCTTTTGTATACTGATCCTGTTGCAAGGCACGGGTATAGCTGCTAGTGAATACGAATAGTAGCGCTGGATGCAGTACCGCCAGTCAAATTTTTAACCGACCGACACTACTAATTGTGACCGACGGGATTGATTTTTTAGTATCTTATATAACTTAGAGTTAATCATGTACTACCACAAAGCCTTCTTTCTACATCAATTACAATTCTATAACACCCCCGCCACAGCACACCTGCAGCCTATTTTCAATTAAATCTAATTCAATAACATTAGGATTAACGAGTATCTAGGTTATGCTGCTATAGGGAGGGTTACGAAGTGTGATTTTAGGAAAATACTATTAGCTTAGAATAGAATAAATAAATTTTCCAAGTTTGATAAAAATATATCCAAAAGGAATTACAAAATTTTGTCAGCTGTTTCAACTGCACAAGTTAGTTCTATGATGATATTAAATACCCCCGCCGCAGCAAACCTGCAGACTAAGCGAATTTCAACTCGTCTGATTACATTTTTACTAAAATATTTCCATAAATAAGACATATTATTCCCTATTTAAATAACATTAGATTTAACGAGTGCTTAGGTTTGCTGAAAGAGAAATTCATTAGTATCCCATTCAATACAACTCTTAACAGGACTACAAGAAAAACTTTTCAAAATTCTGAATACAAAATTGGCTTTAAAACAAAAAATAATGCCTTCAATATGATAGCAAATAACATTAATACAAATAAAGAACATCAAGACATCTATGACAAATCTGGCATTTACAAAATTGACTGCACTGATTGTGAACACTTCTACATTGGTCAGACAGGACGCTCTTTTAAATCTAGATTCAAAGAGCACATTCAAGCTCTTAAGAGTAACAACAGAACATCCATGAAATCAAATTTGCTGAACACCTTTTATCGACCAACCACAATTACACAAATTTACAAATTAACAATCGAATGGATTCAACTGAAGAATATTTCATATACAAAGAAAATCTAAAAAATCCAAATCATATTTTAAATAGCCAAATTCCTTCAAGAAACCCAATCTTTGACCAAATTTTAAAATTAAATAATCAGTAACAAAAAAGTTTTTCCAAATCCTGTCTAGTTCTATAAACCATCTGTATATATAAATCATATTTATTTACAAACAAACTATATAAACAACGGTTAAGTGTTTAATGTATTTTGAAGTTTGAAAATGGACTAATGTCCGAAACATGTCACTTCTTTTTATAAAATATAATATTCAGGGTGCTCAGTTGTACTTATTTACTTAAATATTTAATATATATATAAATATATATATATGAATTTGAACGGATGGTGTTTTTGGCCTCTAGGGACCTCAAAATGAAAAATTAAATCGGTCTCGGGTCCAGGTCTTACCATGAGTACTACGGTAATAGCTTATTCCCTATATGGGAAATTCGCTAAAAGCATTAACAGGTTTTAAGGTTTACCTACAGGGTGCAGCACTATTGTTTTTTTTTTTGCATTTATGACAACAGCTAATTTGAACCAACTAGCAAAAAAAAGCTGTGGTACAGAATGAGACCATTACTTTTTTCTATGGTTCAGGGGCAGTGGTAGAACAAAAGAACCAAACTTTCTTAAACCATGTCCTCACCCATAATTGCAATAAGCATTTTATACTTATATGCCAACCCCGTACGAAGGACGGGGACTCTGCTAGTATATTGATAAAATTTGGCAAATTTATTTATTTCACCCTATATACTATTTGACGAATGGTCAAAACACACTTTTTACCTTCCCCGTAGCAGAAAACCTAAGCACTCGTTAAATCTAATATTATTTTAATTGGGAATAAATATTCTTATTTATGGAAATATTTTAGTAAAAATGTATGAGACAAGTTGAAATTCACTTAGTCTGCAGGTTTGCTGTGGCGGGGGTATTTTTCTCTTGCAGAATAATTAGTTTATATAGAATTAGTCAGTTGAGACTATTAGAGGTCATTCCATCAAAAATCTATTATTAAAGGAATTTGTTGGATTTTTGTGTGCAGCAAATCAACTACTAAATATTTATTTTTATAACCATATTGGGTATCAATTTAAAGCTCCTCTAGATGTGCATTTTGCTGGTTTGGATGATATCCCATGAAAGACCTTCGTCCTAGGCTTTTAAAATTTCATAGTTTGTGCTGAATTCTGTTGTCAATCGTCTAAACTTTTTCAAGTTTACATTTGTTTACATCAAAACAGATGGTCATTATACAATTTTGTTTACATCCGAAAATGGGGTTATCTGTAGTTGGTGATGTTTCAGTGAAAGAAGAAAATTAATTACGTAGGATTTTGTGTTGTGATAGGATTTTGTATTTTCATAGTATGTTTTATTGATTTTTTAGGGAATTCAATTCAAGTAAACTATTGTAATGTTATTTGTTAAAAATGTAAAGAAGAAAATGACTTACGTTAGATTTTTTTTGTTTTCATTAGTATTTGTAATTTTTTAAAGATACCTCGAAGAAATCACGAACGCAATGAAAGTAATGGGGACATGATGAGAAATAATCGTTTTCACCCTTATCAAATATAGCACGGATTTTTAAGTCACGAAGTGACGCAGATTGCCAGATCCTTTAGTAAAAATTAGTTTTGTCATTGATTTTTTCGGTAAAAATGCAGCTAATGCATATGCTGCGTTCAAAGTAAAAACATGTTGTAATTACAAAATCACACTTTTAACAAACAAAATTTAAGACTACTACTCCATAATTATTTATTTTATTTAAATTAAAAAAAAACAGTATACTCTGTTTATTCTAAGGTTGACTTGTTAGAAATAATTATTATTTAATAGCTTAACGAATACAAATTACTCCCCACTGTTAAGAAAATTACCATTTTGGTAATTATATCGATCACGGACGTGTCGCGAAAATATTTTTTGTTCCCTATTCTTATGCTAAATTACGTCCTGAATTGAAAAATGATTGTCATTTTCGTCGGAAAAGCACCGTTTTCCCGGAAAAGCAGAAAAACGAAAAAAACCAAAAATTTCGCGGAAATGGGTCATGTGTAAACTCAAATTAACCGGTAAAGCGAGCTGAACAAGAATATGAAAAGAATTTCAAGATCCGATTAATATTAACGGAGACACGGCCGAAAAATCCCGGTTTCCCCGGAAAACGAAAAAACAATTTTTGTGGAAATGAGTCATGTGTATACTCAAATTAACCGGTAGAGTGAACTGAACAAGAATATGCAAGATTTTTCAAGATCCGATTACTATTAACGGAGATACGGCAGGAAAAGCGTCGGTAAATCGAGTTAGCGTCAAAATGGCCAAAAAAGGTTAGGTTAGGTTAGGTTGGTTAGGTTAGGTTAGGTTAGGTTAAGTTAGGTTAGGTTAGGTTAGACAACCTAATCTAACCTAACTTAACCTAACCTAACCTAGCCTAACCTAACCTAACATAACCTAACCCAACCTAACCTAATATAATCAAGGGTATAAAGAATATCCAAATAACCTCTAAATCGCTCCCACAGACAGCAGCACCTACGGATCCTCCTGATGCCGTTGTTCCTGTGACTAATGAACTTTTCCGGCCGCGCTTTTCCGGCCGTATCTCAGTTAATATTAATCGGATCTTGAAATCTTTTGCATATTCTTGTTCATCTTGCTTTACCGGTTAATTTGAGTATACACATGACCCATTTCAGCGAAACTTTTTTCCGTTTTTCCGCTTTTCCGGGAAAACGGTGCTTTTCCGACGAAAATGACAATCATTTTTGAATTCAGGACGTAATTTAGCATAAGAATAGTGAACAAAAAAATTTTTTCGCGACACGTCCGTGATCGATATAATTACCAAGATGGTAATCAGCAAAACATGACCAAACATTGGCTTGCACAAAAACCTTTGTCGTTGGGAAGTTGGGTTGTTCTGAATTATGAATACATTTCTCGATTATTTGGCATTAGCTCATCATTATGTATTTAAAATAACTAACTGTCATCCAGTGGCCAAAAACTCGACCAAAAATATTAAAAAAATATGTATGCGAATATAGTACAGACTTCTCTTTTTTCACCAACATGTTCAATGAAACATGTGATTTGAATTTGTATTGATTTTCTGTTTATATTTCGTTGTTATTTCGTCACCAGCATGGCAACCCATAGGGCCCATGTAAATTTTTTTTTTAAATTGTTATTGTTTGTGCTTATTTTTGAGCCTATTTTAACTTATAAGGAGATTCTGCACATCTACAGGAAAATATCTTGCTAACAGTATGCGTAGATTTTCCCTGTGATGCACATGAGCTGAGAAAAAAGGTCTTAAAGAAACATACTTGCCTATCAATATATAGATAATGAAATGAAACTATAAGGAAAACAATAAAGGAAAAAGAGGATAATGAGGAATAATTATGTTCACGCCCGTAATGTTTTGCAGTGAAAGTAAAACGTTGTAGAGTAAAATTTAAGAAAATCGTGAGCCCAAAAATTTGCTTTTGTTTCTCAAAAATCATGAAAGTAATAATTAATTACCATTAATTATCCTTCGTTAGAATAAAACCACAAAATATTCAGGTGATTGGGCTGGGTAATTATTAATTCAGTCTTTGTTCTGTACACGTACGCAACACCGAGGTAAATACCCCGGTTATCAATAACTAAAACCGGCCGGGTCCATTTTATCGGACATTGCTGTTTTCCCTTTTCTAGTCCAACTAGCAACAACATAATGGCGAATTACAAATAAGTCAAATTACGATTAACTGATTTATAAAACGATTGTAAAATGTACTTACGGGATTTGGCCGGTTTCGCGCAGCCCACCCCCGCAAAGTTCAATACAGACTGACGACAACCGGAGCTCGTCCACCCTCCCCCACCCAATGACGTCACGTGATACGAGGGGGGAGATTGATGATCAGCTGATTGTAAACAAACACCTCCATTGTTGACGTCAGCGTTTTTAGTTGTGACCTTATCAACATCTACATCTTCTGATAGCCTAGGGTGACAGAAAAAATGAGACGTGATTCTACAGTATGTGCATTTAGTAAAAGGACTAAATTAAGGACGCGTAAGTGTCACGGATCCACCATTAAAATGTAATATAGTAAAATACAGGTTTGTTTGAACAAAACCAACCTTTTAAATCAAAATATAAACACGAGGCAACGTTTATTCATGCCTCGAAGTAACTTATCAAGTGGTTACATGGTACTCCTGGATACCTGGGTAGAAGTCCTGCCAATTACTGATACACTCCTGTGAAATAAATATATAAAAAATATTTATACGATGTAATAGTACCGTAAACCTGAGGTTTAGAGTCTTCCTTTCTGTTGCTTAGTTGAGCGTTGCTTCCGATGGCTGCACAGACTCTTCAACACAATAATGTGTTGATCTGGTTTATATACATTTGAAATAAAAACTTCAAATTTATATTAATTCCAATATTAACAACTCCTCCACCAAATAATGTGTATTTATCAAATAACAGATTTACTATAGTGTATGTATATAGATAACGAGGGGACCGAGCTCGTGATAGTTGAAACAACGTATTTATGAAACGTGGAAAGAAACACTTCCCAGAAGTGATTGAGCCTTCAAACTACGAGCTCGGCACGCTATACATGGAGGTATGCGTGTTTGCATTTCAAGCTTCTTGAAGGAGCCACAGGTGATGCAACTGATACAGATTTTACCGGCCAATCTTCTTATTGTGCAGATTCCCAACATAAAACTATATTTTTGATTTTAGTCATTTTAAAACAGAGTACTACTTTTTAAGATTGATCGTACAATTGACCGATCATAAAATTTAAGCTACTAAGTCACCTACTGAGAATGATAGAAAATGTATAATCGTAGCATTTCCATACTAAAATATACTCCTCTTCCTGTTGCAATCAAATAATGTCTATTCAAATATGGCAGACGAATGTATGATTCGGACCTAAAATTGTCTTTGTGTGCAATATGGAACGACGACACTGCTAATGCATTTTTAATAAAATATAATCGAATATTTTAATATCACCGATTGTGTTTTTGTCACTGGGTTTTCACCATTTTCACACTAAAACATATAATATAACAATTTCTTTCAAAACAATTTTTCAGAGCTTAAAAAACACAAATAATTTATTACATTAACGCATTGTTTTACGTATAATGGTTACAGAGAATATTCCAGCAGATTTAATATTGCCATGTTATTCTTGTGGGGAATAAAGTAAAACGGTTGTAGTTTGCTTGTTTATGAATACATCCTGATCAAATATGACAGATATGTTTATTCCATCCTTAGCTACTAAAATTTCACTAAAACACATCTTATTACCTTCCCTGCAGCAAACCTTGTTTATCCTAACGTTTTTTTTTTTTTTTTTTTTTTTTTTTTTTTTTTTTTTTTTTTTTTAAATAGGGGATACATCTTACATATTTAAGGAATTATTTAAGTCAATTGTGTCAAAATCCAATGAGGCAAATGGTAATTCGCTTAGTCTGCAGGTTTGCTGCGGCAGTAATACCTAGTTACTGATATTATATCTTGGTGTACGGTGTATGGTGTATGATAGTCTACATCTTAAGCAATTGGAAACTTTAATTTTATTCTTAACAATGAGTTGAGTGTGGATTTGATGCGTTGTGCTTAGGTTTCTGACCGAGATGATTCTTTAGGACCATCATTTAAGAATCAGTTATTAAACCCCGTGGACCAGTCTATTTACTATCGTTACGTAAGATTTGAATGTGACGTTCTCCTTACTGTCTGCAATCAAGCTATTTACTCAAGTCAATCGAACACCTGCAAACAGGAACACAAGATCCGTCCTGTTATCTTTTGATGGATCTAATTTCACATGTTTTCAACGTATTAATCCAGAACAATCGTTGAAAATAAATGTGCAGCAAATGTAAACATGACCTTGGAACAGTTAGCTTCCACCAGAAATGTCGAGGTCGGCCCAAGAGCGTAGAGTACTGTGGTGTGGTTGTATTAGGCCTATCGCAACCTAGTCGTGAGACAGCTACAAAGCAGAGCAACACGTCTCAATGAAGTTATTATGCTCGTGAGTGGAGTTGCTTAACGTCCCCGCAACGTGTTACACATGTGGAACCGTTCCAGGAACCGGTGACAAGGTCACAGCGACTTGGAAGAGGGAAGGTAGTTCCGCTGAGAATCGGCGAAGACTACATGCTGTAGTTCAATTACAACTTTGATAGGAATTATAGGTGGCTTTGACCACCTTTGACTCGTGCTATGAGACTGGTAAAATTATGGAGTACCTCAGGGTTGTGTTTTTGATCCTATATATTTCGAAGTTTATTTGCCGTTTCCTTGTCAATCCCTTAATATTTAGGTGTTATTTGGTATAAACACCTGTAATTTCTGTTGGTTCTTAGTGTTACAAATGTGGAACCGTTCCAGGAACCGGTGACAAGGTGACTGTAACTTAGAAGAAGGAAGGCGCAACTAATGCCCACCCAGTGTAGCGTCCAAATGCGAACACGGCTGACAAAGAACTGCACTCACGGTCAAAGGAATTTACAAGGGTTGGAAGGGTAGCCCGCCTAAGCCATATGGAACTGCACTCACGGTCAAAAATCGGTCTTTCACGGCTGAACGCTTCGCTAGCCCCTTAGTCATCTGTTTATTCCGTCCTCTGTCTTACTTTATCCAATACTTTATTTAATACACGTTTTAGTGTCTGTCCCAATAAATACAGCAATAACTAACCTAACCTAACCTAACCTTTACAAAAGAAGCTTCGTTATAATAAGAATATAGCCTATCATGTTATCGTAAATACTATGCTAGAATTTTCTGTACACATGTGTATTTTTTACAATGTCAGTAGTAAGTTTATGTTTTGACGTTTAGATTAATTTAATCAAAACTTTTCAATAAATTTCAACTAATTTAATAAGTTTTAATCAATTCAATCATGGTGTTGCACAATGTGATATAGGCTAGTTAAAAACTGACCGTGAGTGCAGTTCCGGTACCCCCAGAAAGGCTCAAAGTGACCGTGAGTGCAGTTCCGTAGTTGGATTAGGACCAGGGACTGACCGTGAGTGCAGTTCCAGCCCTCCCGCGAACACTATCCATTCGATATTCCTACATGTACCCCCATATCTTATGTGAGGTTTTGTTACCTCAAATGATATAAGGAGCTGTCATAGTAATATCGTGGCCTGTTAGTTTTTAAGGGGTCGTTAAACACTGTATAATATATGCTCCTCATCCAGTTTTATGGTTAACTATTTAATTGTTGGTTAAAGTTAGTTCTAATAATTACGACTCCTGTCAAACCAGCTATTGGGACACTGATACTTACATACCATTACCTTTATGGCGACCATACGATTGTAGGTATATTAAGCCAAGTATGAATGGAGATGAGTGTAGGATGAGTGGTACGCTATTAGTCTTGTTGGTGACTAAGGTCGACATGTTCCTAAAATACAGTTGTTAATGAATTAATTGCCCATACAGCCAATGGCATCTAATACTTATAATACTTTTTAATGAAATGGCAACCATACAAAGTAGGCAATTTAAGCCAAGTATGAATGGAAATGAGTGTAGGATGAGGGGCGCGATCTTCTAGTATTGTTAGTGACTAAGGCCGACTTGTTCCTTAGACACAGCTGTTAATTAATAGCCCATACAGCTAATGGTAACTAAGGGAGATTCAGTTTATATTAGAATCCGAGCCTCATTAATTTGGCTGCATTAGGGATAATCCAAATTACTAGTGATAATCCACACCGGGGAGTATCACATTCACAGTTTACGCCTATAAATATCCACAATTCTTGATCTCCAAGTTGTTGCATTACAGGACGACGCCACGGTCCCAGTCAATATAAGAAACGCTAAAAACCTAGCCTAATTGAGACACTGTCTATACATACCGTCACCGTCACCCAACCCAGCACGTTTTGAACTATAAAAAATCAAATGCCTACATGCCTACTCAGTTACGACAAATGTGCTGTTAGGAAACCAACAAACCTGATGCAAATGCATTCACCAGCTCGGTAATAATCAAAGCCTAAACAGCTGGCAGAGATGCGCGAGCAAATACTTGAGTTCTTCCTGATGGAGATTAGAGAAACGCGCCTACACGAGACCGAGGGCCCTCAGCGAGGCTTTCTGAGGCCCTCGTGAGGCGTGAGGGCCCGGGGCCTTGCGAGGCTCATTGCCTCTAATAAACCAATCCGCTGGGAGACGTCCTCGACTACGTCTACACGATCTAGACCAGCAAATAGTGAATGTTGTGGATAGTTGCGGTTAATTATAACATACCTCGTATCTTGAGTAGTTACGTGGTAAAGTAGACTAAATACAATGTCTCGTCCCAACTGATTCGGGATCAAATAATAAATGAATAAATGGTTTATTTGATTAAATTTGCTACATAGTAGCCTAGAAATGTTTAGCGTATTTACTAATACTATCAAGTTTTAAAAACATGAAATTATTAAGAAAACAGAATGAAAAATTAACAAAGTGGTGAACTTAATGTTGAATGATGTAAAAATAACTAACATAATATACTTTATATTTTTTAGCTGGTTACGATCGGTCTGTGGAATCAGCAGACATAGACAGACTCTGCCTGAGCGTCTGCTGGGTTGCTAAAGTCTTTTAATGGCCTAAATGTTTTAATGTGTAAATTTAAATGAAGATTGAATCAACAATTTAAAAAAAATATTGTTTGTATTTTACGTGAGGATGATGATCTGAAATAGTAATTTGAAATAGTGAGGTAGTGGATACAATCGCTTAATCAAACAATTCTATTTGTATATGATCAAACTTATGTTTGAGTATTCGTAA